GAGAAAAATGATAAGAAAAGCATTTTAAAATTATAATGCATGACAAATGCATATGTACGTTGTATATGTAAAAAATTAGTATATGCTTATGAGATGAAGTATTATGATTAAAATGCGGTATGAGAATACACAAGAATGTTGCATATAAAAATAAAGGACTAGTAGAAAATAAAGAAAGCAGGTTTGGGTTAAAATAAATAAACACCTTATTTTACTTGAGAAAGAAAAAGGTTATTAAGGGCGTGGGAATGCACTCTCAAGTTCTTGAAAAGTTGTATTTTCACCATGAAAATCTGCACTCTAAAGTTCACAAAAGACTATGTTTAAGTCTCAAAAGATGCTGCATTTTTCAAATAAATTTAAACCATAAAAAATGATAAAAGGGGGTGTATTTGAGGCCAAAAAAATCTGCACATAAAACTATTAAAACTATATTTTAATTCTCAAAAATCTGCATTTTTAAGGGTTCAAAATATGTACATTTTTTGCCTTCGAAACTGATTTTTTAGACTTTTTGAAAGCTGTATATTTTCACTAAAATCTGCATTTTTGCCATTAGGAAAAACTGTCTTTCTTTGCACATAAAATCTGTACTTTTGAACTTTCTGAAAATTACATTTTTTATGCTAAACAAATCCATATTTTGAATTTACTCTTTATAGAATAGATAAAAAAAAAAGAAACAAAGACAAAACGATTTGCCATACTTATCTACTCAAGAGAGGAAACCACATATCACCAACTACCCTTTCTAAGGTTCAAGTGTTCTAGGCATGATTCTCTATCGATCAAATCAAAAGAAATTAAAATAAGAATATAATAAAAACAGATAAGTATGGCAAACTTCATAACATAATTAATGGCAAACAAAATAAAGGAATAAGAGATAGAAGTAAGATATAGAAGCATCTCCTCCACTCTCGCTTCATTTCCTTCGGATGAGAGAGAGTAAAAGAGATGAATAATGGACATCGCTTTCTCTTTCCCCATTCAGATATGTAGGAGGAGGACAAGAGACATGCTTGAAGGGCGAAATGCAAGTGTACTCGTTCTACAACAATGTGGAGTCTCGTTTGAGACTCCTTGCGAGCTCCGGCAAACCATGTGAAATAAGAAAGAAGAAGCAAACATTAGAAAAAGAGCATTTAATTTTAGATGAACATAAAAGAAAAACAAATCAACACCAATACATATAGGATCATGCTCATCACAATTTTTTTTTTTTCACAAGGTATATAAATATACAATACATCACAGTAAGTATATCAAAAGCTAAAAAATAACTTCACTAGTGAGACAACTCAAACCCTATGCAAAATAAAAGAAAGTTATGAAGCAAACTTCTTTAGAACACAAAAAAAACGTTCAAATGAACCAAGTAATCAAGTAAAAAAAAAGTTTTCGTATAAATAGACATCATTTACTAACTCGAATCCACTCCTTTAAATAAAGATAAAATAAAATCAATAAATCTAACACATTATATAAATAGGCGAAACTTATGTATTTTTTAATAGGAAAACTGTTAGTCAAAAATCTGCTCATGCTAAGATCAAAAGATAACATTTTGGCTTGCTATATAATTATTTCGTGATCATTTGCAGAGTTGAAACAAAGAAAATTATCTACGATTAAAAGTTCAACGTCAAACTTATAACTATACAAAATGCATAAATAGATTAGAAGAAAAACTAACAGTAGGTTGCTGATGTAAGGACATCTCCATAGAATCTCAACAAAACATATTCATACGATCTTAATATATGGATTAAAATGTCTAAAGCATATGTTCACACAAACAAAATCATGATTTACAGATAAAAAATGGAGAAAAGCAAATATTATAAAGTAAAAGAATAAGATAGCATTTTCACCTGTTTCGGAGCAGCAAACTAGAGTCCTTGATCAAAGATCTACACTGGAACTCGAACTACTTCACACTCGTCCACGTGCAAGACTCCGGAGACAACGAAACAATAAGAAGCTGGATATTTCCCAGAGTAACAGAGATGTTTTGCAGCAGTTTGGTTATATAATATTTGACTGAAAATTATCTCCAAAAAGCCCCTCCCCCCCCCCCCCCCCAAAATGGATGCTTAAGGTTCGCATTTATAGAGTAAAAGCTAAGGTTCCGAGGGTTCTTTAGGCGGGAAGATTTATTTCAAAATCGAGTCACAAAACTCCTTTGAACTTCGAACATCATACCATGGCAGAAAACTTTCAGAAGCGATTTATTTCTTATGACCAAAATAGTGAATCTTGACTTAAGCGTAAGGATCTGACGCATTTTGAACATAGAAGTAGACGATCTTCTGCCACACGCCATGGGAAGAAAGTAACTTGCTGGAAAATGGCTAAGCCAAATCTGAAATTTTGAGGAGTGGAGCTCAAGCTTTGTCAAAAAATGGAGATGAAGCCAAAAGAGTGTTCCCTTGCTAAAGAAAGAGAGGGAGGCGTCTGATGACACCAAAGGAAAAACAATAGATTGTTTTTTTTTTTGGGAAATCCAAGGGTATTTAGGTCACTTTAGGTGAATTAAAGGAGGGTAGGATAGGTAGTTTAGGATATTTGGGATTCTAGGGCTTTAATTTGAATTGACCGACCAATGAGGAAGAGACAAATGGCAAGTGTGTGCTGATCAGTGAGAGGCATGTGAGGGCGTATGGCAACCATATGTTTTGGAACGTTGGCACCTTATGTGGCGCCAACGTGGATGTTTTTGTGGCGCTTACGTGGAAGGAGGAGTGTAAGAATGGACTTCTTCTTGGGCCAAAGTTGGGTTACATTCTAGCTTAGGCTGAATTTTGTCGGGGTCTTTTCTTTTCTTCTTTTAAAGTTTTTGGGCTTCTAAATTAATAACCAATATTATAAGATGACAATTACTATTTTATGAAATAAAAATATATTATGACTTTATACTAATATAAGATATGAATACTAAACAAGAACTTATAATTGATTTAATAAAATGCAAAACTTGAAATAAGGTGAAAACAATCGATTAATAAAAAAAGGTATAATAAGTGATAATAGTAATTTCGATAATAAAATATATAATTTAGAAGATAGATAGTCGTAGTAGTAAAAGTAGTTGTGAAAAGGATAATTTTATACGTAATTTCGATAATAAAATATATAATTTAGAAGATAGATAGTCGTAGTAGTAAAAGTAGTTGTGAAAAGGATAATTTTATACGTTATCAAATTAAAAGCTCGAAAACAATAAATCAGAAGAAAGGAGGATCAAAATTGGGTGTCAACATCTTGTCCCTCTTTGACCAGAGATGATGTAAGAGGTTTTGGGCAAAGAAGTTGACTTAGAAACCAATTTTGTCCCGACCAACAAGTGCATCAAAGTTTGCCCCGGTATGAATTATGGTGTTATCGGGTATTGAGATCAAGGAGAGTATTTGAGAGCGAAGTTCGAGGTAGACCTTTGACCTTTGTTGGTGAGTTTGACTCTCCAACAAATTGCTCCAGTTCGCTGCTTAAAAAATAGTTCCACGTTGTGCTAAAGCTCCTGCATAACTCAAACTTGACGAAACAGTTAAATAATATTAAACATAAAGCATGGTGTGATAAACACATGGAAATAACACCTCCTGGGTGTGAATTTATGAAAATGTGGCCTTGCGAGCCGAAATGATTTAATGAGATGAATCTTGCAAAATTTATGAAAAAGGGTTTAAGGCCGATGATTCATAAGAAATGATGCTTTTCAGCGATGATTAATGAAAATGAGGCCTTAACCATATAAATTATGGATATGAGGCTTTTAGCCAAATGATTTAAAAATGTGACTTTTTAAGCTAGGTGATTTATGAAAAGGAGGTCTTTGAAAGCAATGCAGACTGGTAAAGCATTTGTGCAGTATATTTGAAAGCATCTGTGCAATCAACTGAAAGCATTTGTGCAATGCATTAGAAAAGCGATAAAGCCATGTAGGATTCCTTTTAAATACTTGAAAGTATTTGTGCATTTAAAAATATGCATTTGTGCGATGCATTTGAAAATATCTAAAAGCATTTGTGCAGTGCATTTAAAGGCATTTATGCAGAGAAAAATCATGTGCAATGTGTTTTATTAAATAATATTTGTTATCAACACATTTGAAAGTTTATAAAGCTTTACTTATAAATTTTGAATCATAAATTTATAAGTAAGTAATTCAAACCACTCGACATATAGTCTTTTCGATGCTATAGATGTTGTTGACTTCTCAACTTCTGTGAATCTTGACAAATCTGCACTCAAAGAAAAATTATAAGTTTTGAGGGAGGTTGATTCACGTTGACTTTGAAGGTCTGACTCTTCATACTTCTTTCTTCCAGCTTTGCTTGGACTCATAACCTCCGTCCATTCTAAATCTTGGTTAAATGAATAACAAGAAAATAAATAAAAAGGAAACGTTTGATTGAAAATCATATTTGAAAATAAGATAAAATTATATACGTATATATATATATATATATATATATATATATATATATAGCAAGAATTTGTCGAACTTCAAATTGTGACATGTCATGAAACAAAGCGAACGTCCTTTATCTGAAGTATTTCTTCTGTCGGATGATTCGATTGACCATATACTCTTCAAATATCTTGATATCTTCTTGCAATGATGCCCCTTAAAAATTGTCCCAGTTTTGGCGAAAGAGATGCGTTGTCTTTTGGTCACGATGATACCAAACCTTCTATAGGTTGCGCACTATTCTATCAAGGCACCAAGCCAAACATAACCTAACGATACAATAAAAATTGGAATAGAGGGGCTGAAAGCTCCTCGGGTTGCCTACGTATCCGAACGGAATCAGGCCTACGTATCCCACCAAGGGTATCAGGCCAAGCGTAGTTCATATTACATAGAAAGGAAATTTAGCAAAACTTACTAAAAGACCAAATTCGATGTGGATTTCCTACGTATCCCGCCATGGGAATCAGGTCAAGACGTAGTTCCAATACATGACAAAAGATTACAAGAAATGAAATAGAAACCTCTAGATGTAGTATCTCTTAACCGCATCAGCATTGATAGCTTTTGGCCATATCTTGCCATCCATTTCTGCTAGAATCAAAGCTCCTCCAGTCAGTACTCGGTGAACTATGTAAGGTCCTTGCCAATTAGGTGCAAACTTTCCCTTAGCTTCATCTTGGTGCGGGAATATTCGTTTCAACACCAATTGTCCTGGTTCAAACTGTCTCAATCTTACTTTCTTGTTGAAAGCTTTGGCCTTCCCGTGTTGATAAAGTTGCCCGTGACAAACTGCATTCATTCTTTTTTCATCAATGAGCATCAATTGTTCATACCGGTTTTGCATCCACTTGGCATCACTTAACTCAGCTTCTTGGATGATCCTTAGAGATGGTATCTCAACTTCCATTGGTAATACTGCTTCAGTTCCATAAACCAAAAGATAAGGTGTTGCCCCAATCGAAGTCCTGATTGTGGTGCGATAGCCAAGAAGGGCAAAGGACAAACTCTCATGCCAATGCTTGTAGTTATCAGTCATTTTCCGCAATATTCTCTTGATATTTTTGTTGGCGGCCTCAACTGCTCCATTCATCTAAGGTCGATAAGGAGTGGAATTGCGATGAATAATTTTGAACTTCTCACATATCTCATGCATCAAGCCACTATTGAGATTAGCTCCATTATCTGTAATAATTGACTCGAGGATCCCAAATCTACAAATGATGTTATTGCGAACAAAATATGTCACCACCTTCTTTGTCACACCACTTGTATGAATATGCTTCTACCCACTTTGTGAAGTAATCAATAGCTACCAGAATGAACCTGTGTCCATTTGAGGCGGCTGGCTCAATAGGGCCAATGACATCCATGCCCCAAGCTGCAAATGGCCAAGGAGAACTCGTCACATTTAGCTCATTCGGTGGAACCCGAATCAAATCACCATGAATCTGACATTGATGACACTTTCTCACAAAACGGATGCAATCTGTTTCCAAGGTCATCCAAAATATCCAGCTCGTAGAATCTTCTTTGCCAAAGTGAAACCATTCATGTGTGGCCCACATGTACCCCATGTATTTCTTCAATCAACTTGCTTGCCTCTTGAGAGTCAACACATCTTAACAATCCCAAATTGAGTCTCCTATAAAGGATTTCTCCACTTAGGAAAAAGTGATTTGCGAGTCCCCGAAGTGTCTCTTTTGAACATTGTTTACTCCTTCTGGATAGTCTCCTTCTCTGAGATACCTCTTAATGTCATAGTACCAAGGTTCTCCATCCGGTTCTTCACTACATGGAAATAATAGGCTGGTTGATCCTGCACATTGACCTTGATTGGATCTATATAGTTCTTGTCTGGATGTTGAATCATAGAAGCAGGGTTGCCAACGCATCTGCAAACTCGTTCTGAGCTCGTGGAATATGCTTGAATTCTATCTTGACGAATTTCTTGCACAATTCTTTCACACACAACAAATATGGAGTATCTTCACATTCTTGGTGCTCCATTCGCCTTGAACCTGATGATTCAATAAGTCGGAATCACCTATAATCAACAATTCTTGTATATTCATGTCAACAGCCATTCTAAGCCCAAGAATACAAGCCTCGTACTCCGCCATATTATTTGTCATAAGAATCTGAACTTTGTTGAGATAGGATAATGTTGACCTGATTCTGAAATCAACACTGCTCCAGCACCGACTCCTTTGGAATTCGCAGCACCATCAAAAAACATTCTCCACCCGGGATATTCTTCGGAAATATCCTCTCCAATAAATAAAACCTCTTCATCAGGGAAATAAGTTTTAAGAGGCTATACTCTTCATCCACGGGATTTTCGGCGAGATGATTAGCTAGCGCTTGTCCCTTGATGGCCTTTTGAGTGACATAATAATGTCAAATTCACATAGCAAAATTTGCCACTTCGCCAACCTTCCAGTGGGCATAGGCTTCTGAAATATATACTTTGAGTGGATCCATCCTTGAGATGAGAAAAGTGGTATACGCACATAAATAATGTCTAACTTTTGTGCAACCCAAGTCAAAGCACAACAAGTGCGCTCCAATAAAGTATACCGAGCTTCATAAGGAGTGAACTTTTTGCTCAAGTAATATATAGCTTGCTCCTTCTTTCCAGTTTCGTCATGTTGTCCCAGCACACATCCAAATGCATTGTCAGACACTGACAAATACAACAACAATGGTCTTCCAGATTCTGGGGGCACCAAGACTGGTGGACTAGATAAATACCTTGATTCTGTCAAAAGCTTTCTGACAATCTTCCGTCCATTTTGGTTGCAGCATCTTTCCTCAGCAACTTGAAGATTGGCTCGCAAATTACAGTAGATTGTGCAATGAATCGACTAATGTAATTGAGGCGACCAAGAAAACTCATTACATCCTTTCGACTCTTTGGAGGAGGCAAGTCTTGAATAGCCTTTATCTTTGAAGGATCCAGCTCTATCCCTTTCCTACTCACGATGAAACCCAACAGCTTCCCGGGACACCAAATGCACACTTTGCGGATTTAACTTCAGATTGTACCGCCTTAATCTGTCAAAGAACTTCTTCAAATCTGTTATATGATCTGAGCTCTTCCGTGACTTGATGATGACATCATCCACATAAACTTCAATCTCCTTATGGATCATATCATGAAATATGGTAGTCATAGCTCTCATATATGTTGCCCCTGCATTCTTGAGTCCAAAAGGCATTACCCGATAACAATATACTCCCCAAGGCGTGATGAATGCAGTTTTCTCCGCATCCTCTTCATCCATTAGAATCTGATGATATCCTGCAAAGCAATCAACAAATGACTGCAACTCATGCTTTGCACAATTATCATAGTATGAATGAGTATTTTTGGGAGAGGAAAATCATCCTTCGGGCTAGCCTTGTTGAGATCTCGATAATCTACGCATACTCTGATTTTTCCATCTTTCTTTGGCACTGGTACTATGTTGGCCAACCACGTGGGATACTTGGTGACCCGAATGACATTGGCATCAAATTGCTTGGAGACTTCTTCCTTAACCTTTAAACTCAAATCAGGCTTGATCTTTCTCGGCTTTTGCTTTACTGGGGGGCAAGAGGGATCAATTGGCAATCTGTGTGAAACAATATCCGTGCTTAGACCTGGCATATCATCGTAAGACCATGCGAACACGTCCATGTATTGTCTCAAAAGATCAATAAGTTCTTTTCTTTGGGACGAAGTCAAATGGACACTAATTCTTGTATCTCTCACCAACTCTGCTGAATCTCCCAAATTTATCGTCTCTGTTTCATCCAAGTTTGGCTTTTCTTTATTCTCAAAATGTTTCAAACTCCTTGGTCAACTCTCCAGACTGCACATCTTCTTCATATTCTGCAAAAGTTTGTTCACTGTTCGGGGTTTGTTCGCTCGTTTCATTACATGTCACATTCTCGGCATTGACAGATTTATTAGTTTGCTTGCTGAAAGAGAGAAAAAAGATAAAAATAAAATAAAATAATCAAGGACAAATTTTAAAATTTAAAGCATAAAAAGGTAACATAGATTTGGCATTTAAGCTTTCAAAAGACGGAGGCAAAACACATCAAATTCAAAAACACGATTCAGGCCTCAATTTGAATCATGTTGTTTTGTTAATTCTAATACAATCATCTACCAAGATTCCCGGAGGGAACGGGGACGGGTTACAAGTCCAATTGTTCAAAGCATCTCCAGGCATGGCATCCCATATGGTCGGGGCCTCAGTGCAGTCCTCCAAAATCATATTGCATTCCGTTTCTTCAATGAACAAGTTTTTGAGTCCTTCTGTGAGGTTATCTTCAACAGCTTCTTCTAATCCTTCTGCAGCAAACGCCTTGGAAAATGACTGATTCAAGGGCGGGATAGGTTGTGGTAAGGGATTGTCACTTTTCCTTTTGAGATTGGCCGACGAGATTTCTTCAGGAGTAGGCTCGTATCCAAGACCAAAGGTGTATTTCTGACCAGGCAATTGAATTGGTTCCACTATTCCATCCAATTTCGCTCCAAGACCTTGACCCGGGATAAAACCATTCTTCAACATTTCCCAAGCCACCATCATAAGCACACGTGGCAAATTTGCCTTTCCAACTTGAGTAGCACACACAATTTCCTTAATATGGAATACAGACCCATCCAACTCTTCCATACTTTCAATAACAGGGACTGAATTTTCAGGATATATTGAGTTGTTACCTTCTCCATGAACAACAATTTCCTGATGGTTCCACACAAATTTCAAAGTCTGGTGCAAAGTGGAAGGGACCGCACCAGCCATATGAATCCATGGCCTTCCAAGTAACAAATTATAACTAGCAGATATATCCAACACTTGGAATTCTACAATGAACTCCACAGGTCCAATTTGCAATGGCAGATCAATTTCCCCAATGACTCCCCTTTGTGTCCCATCAAATCCTCTAACCCTTACATGACTTTCACGAATCTTTCCAATGTCAATTCCCAAAGCTCGAAGAGTAGTGAAAGGGCATATGTTAACAGCTGAACCATTATCAATCAGAACTCTGGAAATAAACTTATCCCTACATCTGACAGTAATGTTCAACGCTTTGTTATGTCCCAAACCTTCAGGCAACAACTCATCTTCATGAAAGGTGACTTTGTTAGCTTCCAAAACTTGTCCTACCATGGCAGAAAAGCTCTCACTAGTGGTCTCAGCTGGAACATAAGCTTCATTTAAAACCTTTACCAAAGCATTCCTATGAGTTGCAGAATTCATCAATAAGGCCATTAAGGAAATTTGAGCAGGAGTTTTCTTTAGCTGTTCAACAACTGAATATTCCTTAGTTGGCATCTTCCTCCAGAAATCTTCCACTTCAGCCTCTGTCACAACCCTTTTTTGGTTATTTTCCTTGTTTGGTCCTCCTCGTACAACTTCTTCAGGGGCATAACAACGTCCGGATCTTGTCATTCCTGCAGCAGCAGCTTCTACAACTATCTTTCCTTTTCCTTTGTCCCTTGCATCAATCGAGTAATTCCAAGGAACTGCATTAGTGTCAAAAGGGGATGATTGAACGACAAGGGCCACGATCTTAGGCTTAGGAAGAAAAGCTTCCACTTCAATTGGCGCTCGTACTTGGACTGTGATTATTGGAGCAATAAAGGCCGATGTCTCAACATTCTTCTCTATCTTGACTGGTACTATGGTTCCTTCCAAATTGCAATCTTCATCAACGGTGATCATGTGAACATTGCCATGATTTGGCAGCGGGTTGTTGTTTACATTGGGGGCAACACCTTTGAGTTGAATGATTCCTTCTTTGATCAATGCCTCAATCTTGTCTTTAAGAGTAAGGCAACTTTCAGTATCATGTCCAGCAGCTCCAGAGTGATATGCACAGTGCTTGGTCTCGTCATACCATCCAGGAAGGGGATTGGGAATTCGTCCTTGGATTGGCTGGACTACTCCTGCAGTTCTCAACCGTTCATATAGTTGGGCTAAAGGTTCAGCTAAAGGTGTATAGGTTTTGGCTGGTCTTCTTTCAAAGTTTGGGCGGGGTCTGGGTGCATTTGATGGACGATTTTGTTGTTGATAATGGGGTTGGGATGGATATGTGGGTTGGTATCGTGATTGATTTGAATAGGCAGGTGCTCTAGGTGGACAATATGTTGGTTGGGTGGTGTAAACTGGGTAAGGGGCAGGTGAAGGTTGATAATAGGGTTGAGGAATTTGGGTATACTGACTGTAGTATGAAGGTTGGGGTAATGGGTTTTGGTAGGTTAACATTTGGTTTGGCCTACGTTCCTGGATGGTCATGACAGCAGACACACCGTCCTTCCTCTTCTTAAGGGCTCCTCCGATTGAATCCGACTGAATTGCCTTACTTGTCGCCTGCAGGGCTGCCAAATTAGTGATTCTCCCAGTTTTAATACCTTCTTCAATAAATTCTCCCATCCTGACAACCTCAAAGAACTTTTGCCCTACAACACTTATCATCTTTTCATAGTACGTTGCATCTTTTTGGGATTGTATAAAAAGAGAGGTCATCTCACTTTCTGCCATTGGAGGTTGAACTTTTGCGGCATCTGCTCTCCACCGCATTGCATACTCTCTGAATGACTCTGTTGACTTCTTTTCCAACTTCATCAAGTAGAACCTGTCCGGAATTGCCTCAGTGTTAAACTTGAACCTATCCATGAATTCTTGCGCCATCGCACCCCAACTATTCCATTTCTGTGGATCTCGACTCGTGTACCAATCAAGGGCCTCTCCTGTCAAACTCCTTATAAACAACTTCATTCTAATGGCCTCATCTTTCCCCACTCCAACTAACTTGTCACAATACGACCTTAAATGGGCTCGAGGATTTCCCTTCCCATCAAATACATCAAATTTTGGTACCTTATACCCCACGGGTAATTCAACATCGGGATGAACACATAAATCCTCATATTCAAGACCTTCAACCCCCTTATGGACTTGGATATTTTTGAAAGCTTCCTTCAAATTACGAATCTCCCTTGCTACATTGTCATCTGTTCTTGACCTTGCTTCTTTCTCCATCTCTTCATATGGATCGACTTCTGGCAGGGTTGGCATTGGATTAAGGAAAGGTTGAGCTTCCGCTACATATACTTGAGGCACATATTGCATGTTAGGGATTGCAGTGTGTGCCACCGGTATATGTTGGGTCGTTTGGTATTTTTGGGAAGGTAAGGCAGTTTGGGTGAGTGGGGTAGTTTGGGTAAGTGGGTTAGTTTGGATGACCGGAGTTTGGGTAAGTGAAGTTTGGGGCGCATATGGGGTAGTGAAGGGTAAAGGGTTGGCTTGTTGCGAATTGTTTTGTGGAAAGTTGGGTTGTTGAGGGTTGGTGGATTGTTTGAAAGCAGTTGGATTGGTCTTGTGAAGGGAAGGGTTTGGTGGAAAATATTGAGGAGTAGGAGAGTCAACATGTGGAAAAAGAGGCGGAGTAGCTGTGTTTGTTCCCTGCTCGGGAAGTGGCGTGTTCAAAGTGATGGACAAATTAGTGAGGTTTCGAAGTCGATCAATCTCACTTTGCATATCGGCCATTTTTTGCATCAAATTGGCAATGTGTACATCATAAGGGATTGGTTCCATTCCTTCCGAAGTCTCGGGTTCATCTCTCAGGACAGTGACAAGTCCCAAACCATTTTGATCAGATGCACCGGAATCAGTCATGTCGGCACGTGCTTTTGATCTCGTAAAGTATGGATGATCCGCCAGTTCGTAGTCAACGCAAATCAACCTTTGGGGAAATAAATCAAAAGGAAGAAAACCTTCAAAAGAGAGAAATATTAGTATCAAGTGGGTGATCGTTGTTTCAATAATATTAATAATTAGGCAGATAATTGAATAATAACAGTAAATAAATAGAGAACAAACATGTGTTACGCAGCAAGTAAATCATATAACAAAACAGATATTCAAAAAGAAAATGCATCCTAATATGCACGGGACCTCTTTTTGCCAGAGGTGGGCCTAAATGTCAAACATAACGTTTTATGATAGATTGATCCAAGCCATTAATTTGTGACAACTCGAGTTTGGGAAACAAAAGGCCAAGCTTTCATTAACACAAATAAAAGAGTACAACGAAGAAACTAAGAAATACAAAAAAATGACATAATATAAAGACAAATCTAAGACTTGGCCTAAACTGCTATCAATCACGATGGTGGAGGAAGTGAAGATGATGCTCCCATGTTGCTAGGTCCTGCTCCCGCATTGTCCAAATATCGCATTATATTTTCCATTTGAGCCCACATTTCAGGAGTAACTATTTTGGTTCCAAGACGAGAATGTCTTATCCAAATCGTCGTTCCAATATCCTCAAAACCTTGCTCACCTTCTGAACTTATGCTATTGCGACCTTCTTGAAACCATACATGGTATTCTGGAATTTCCTTTTCAGGCCCATTTCCGATATCTATCGTGAGGATATTGTCCCACTCATGAAGAATCTCTTTGGCTCTAGGGACTTCAAAGTTTGGTCCAAAGGAAATTTCAGAATTCCTCATATTTGCTCGAAGAGGAATTACTTGTGGTTGACCAAACTGTTGAAGCACGCGCACTGGAGCATATGGCTGGAGACCTTTTAACCCAATAAGCTCGATATAATAAAACCTTCTACATCTTATATAAGCAGGGGAACGTGGGAGTAATGGATATTTCCACTGAATTTGGTCACTAGTGCGGTGGGCCAGAAACTCATACCAATCATCAGTACCAACCGGATGCACAAACTCTTTCATCCTTTCGTAAAAACTGTTAATATGATTTATGTTGCTAAAACATATATCATCCATGTTTTTACGTTGGTGAAAATGTTCCATTGCCCACATTTGTAAAAGAAGATTGCAACCTTCAAAGAAGTTTGATTCCCCTCTTTTACATTTCCCAAGAGCTCGAAATATTTCTGCTAAAATCATGGGAACCACAGTGAGTTCTTCGCCATCTACTCCCTCAAAAAGTACTTTAGCCACAGAACATATGCAAGTGCTAATGCATCCGTGTTCTCGTGGGAATACCAAAGTCCCTAGTAAAGCCACAGCAAATGCAATAGGACGTCTGACTTGCCAATGAACTTGAGTACAAGAGAATTCTTTCCTAAACAGCTTGTAACTATCCGAGCGTCCATACCTCTCATATAGGTAGTCCAAAGAAACCCAATTATTTTCGAAGCACCGAAGTTTCTTTTCATTTTTCAACCCTAAGTAGCGAAGGAATTTCTTCCCTGATTGACTGTGTGGAATAATTTGACCCATTCTTTGATACTTCAAACTGGTGAAATAGAGGATTTCCTCCAATGTAGGGGTTAGTTCAAAGTCTTTGAAGGCGAACACAACACGGTCTGGATCCCAAAACTGAATTAGTGCTCTAATCACGTGTTTGTCGGGGGTGATTTTGAATAGCAGAGGGAGGCACCCCAACCTTCTTGTAATCGCTAATTTCTCAGTTGGAGTGAAATTTTCCCACCATGTCCTCAATTTGTGCGGGAAACCCTCGACCATCCTAACTTTGGGCACTTGGGGAATTGAACTCATCCTACATTACAAATTGAAATGAAATGAACACATAAATTCCAAACTCGCTATGTCAAAATTAGGCTTGGATCTGTCTATCATCATACAAAGATACAATAAGCCTGAAATGTATATAGAAACACAATGAACTGATGTATATAAAAATACAATAATCTCTGTGTATGAAAATACAATAACTGCCGTGGGAGTTTCTCTAACCGACAACCATCACATAAGAGTTATAGTGATGATACAGCGATCGACCTCACGCTGCCAGAGCATCTTATACCCGGCCAAAGGTATAAGACCTGAACTGCCTAATGGATCCACTAGTCTAATCTGAAAAGGATTCATCTAAAAAGTATGATCCTTTTCTACCCATGGTGGCTAACATGGTTCTATAGGGGCTGTGGGTTCTTTGAACGCTCCCCCAATTCGGTGCTCGATACTACTCTAAAAAATGTACTGGCTCTTATGGTTTTAAAACATATTTATTCCTGCTAATATGAGATAATTACTCAAAAACTAGCCCGAAGGCTCTTTTGGAAATCTCAGGTTCCAACCTTGTTTAAATGTAAAAACATTTCTTTTAAACTTCTTTGGGAATACATAGTTCCCTAATAACTTTGAGAAATGAACCCAACTTTAAACTCTTTACTTTACTTGAACTCTTGGCTTGATGTGAAACTCTTAACTTAACATGAAACTCTTAACTTTTGACTTGACTTGAAACTCAATACTTTTGACTTGACTTGAAACTCGAGTCTTAAAAATGAAGCTAAAACATTCACTAAAGACTCTTGAACAACTTTAAAAACTTGCTTTGACTTACTTCACTTCTAAGCTTAACTCTTAACATCACTTGACTTCTAACTTTACTTGATTTGGAACTAACTCTCCTTGAATTGGATTATGAACTCAAGGGTAATGATTTGTGTTTGGAAGGACCCCATGATGATTAGGAATAATTTAGGACAGCTAGACTTAAGAAAAATTTCAAAATTTAATTCTGAAAACAGAACAGATTCTGTTCACAGAGGGAACACAGCTGCAACGCAGACTAGTTTCCTGAAAGCAGCCTGACTTTTCTCCTTCATGTTGCCAATTCTAAACCCTCTTAACTTCAAAGGTTCTTTTCCCAAACACTTGGGGTCATAAACCCCTCAACATACAGTGGATTCCACTCAAAAACACAACCAAATCCTGTCCCAAATCAGCAAGAACTTCAACAACACAACCAACAACTTCAACAACAAAAATAGATCTTTTCTTGGAATTAAAAACGAGTTGGTGTGTGGGGGTATGAACCAACCAACACTAAGGTTCATAAAATCCCTCAATATACAATAGATTTCAGCTCAAGAACACAACCAAATCATGTCCCACAACCAACAATAACTTCCACAACACAACTAACAACATCAACAACAACTAACAACTTCAACAACAAATCCAATCTTTTCTCAAATCATAAAATGAGCTTGGTGTGTGGGGGAAAGGATCAACCCACACTAAAGAACTCACATACCTTGATAGGGATCACCCCCGACGAAATTCCACGACGGAAACTTGTTGATCTCCTCTTTCTCCTCTTCTTCTCCTCTTCTTCTCTTCTTCTTCTCTTCTTCACTCTCAAGAACCCTAACTTTCTCTCTTTTAAAATGGAACAAAAATGATCCACAAACAGCCTAACACAACAATATAACCTCAAAAGAAATGATTTGTGAAAAGACCAAAATGCCCTTAAATTTCCGGACGGACTCCCTGCCAACTGCCCCAACTTTCAAAGGGCATAACTCGCTCATACGAACTCGGAATCAAGAAAACTTGGTGGCGTTGGAAAGATCGTTCTACAAGATTCACAACCATAACTGGAACTACTCTTAACTCATCCTGAGCTAGGAGTTACGGTTACTCAAAGTTGGCCAAAAACTCACTGATTTCCACACTTAGCCAAATTTTCCAGATTCTGAATTTTTCCAAAAAAATGACTACTTCCAATTTCAAGCTTCTTCATATTCATTTTAAATTGTCGGATGTTACACTTTTGGTATATTTTTTGTTTGTATTATTACTCATGGTCTTTCAAAGTTTGCTTTGCTAGCTTTTGCATGATACCTAATTATTTCAGCCACAACAAAACCAAATGTGAAAGTTGTTTTCCAGCAGGCAACTTTTCTAGTAGCTCTACTCTCGACTTGGATAATATATCCAAAAAGGTACGCTTTCGGCCATTCCACATGCTGCCTATGTAGAGACATGTTTATCCAAAGTGGATTCTCTTTTTTGCAGTAGGTATTGAACATGTTATGCCCATTGACTAAGAAGCTAGGGGTGGACGCAACAACTACATGGACCTCTTCCTTTCATCGGCCATCACTATTAATCGTCTTTGTTATCACAATGACCACCACCATTACCGTCATCAAATTAAATATCTCTGTCATCACAATTACCATTCTTATCAACCACTACTATATATCAAGCATTTGCTATATTTATGTTTTTTATCGACATAAACAATGGGTTAACATGATATAATTTATTAGTAGTTTTATATATTTTTCTCCTAATAAGGGAAACAATCACTTATACATTCTTTGAGATCATTTAGTTTAAAATCAGGATATTCCATTGTGGAACCATAACTAGGGTTATAGCTTAGGATCAATTCACCTTCTTAAGTAATGGGATAATTTACTTAGCTAAATTTGAGTGAAAAGAAGAAGAAATTGATTAATTTAATTAGTTTACGTTCCAATGGGGTGTGCAATACCCATACATTTGTCATGTCGTTATTAGGTGTTCATGAGATGCATATATTCCAAGCAAAAGTATCTATCTGATCACTAGATGAGTTTAAGTATTCAATTTACAAATTCTGCCAAATTTGAGGGACTATTTAGGTATTATTTAGATAAAATTATTTGTATAGTCCACTCTAAACATACTTATAAGCAATTTTTATTTTTTATTTTATTTTTTTTTGTTAACTTTTCAGTTTCATTGATATAAAACAAGAGTTACATCGTTGGGCCTAATGCCCAAGTCCAAACAGACAGAGAATTAATAAAGCAAGTAGTAAAGAAAAGGGCCTATTACGGACATTTTCCTTGTATTTCTCCCAACTCATCACTTTCCATTAGCTTAGGTTTC